CATTCGGACTTCGAGATATGAAGATATCTGTGGAAGCTGAACCACCACCACTTCAGCTTCATGAGACACTGACAGGTTCGGGTGCTCTTGCTGACACAGCAAGGCACATTCAAATTGATAGGTCAACATAGTTCAAAGTAAACCAGATCCAGTTTTTTGGTGATTTTCACTACTCGTAAGGAAGATGCCTTACTGTAACTACCATCCAAACGCAACCGATTGGCTGACAACAAAAAACAAACCAAAGTCTATCCTGACATGTACGTACCCGGGTGTTCTTTTTCATGTGGTCTCTGAAATCGTGGGAACTGTGTAACAGAGCAAATCTAGGGGTATTCCTGACCACTCTGCTTAGACATGGCGACCGACACCACAACCCGTCGCTCATCTCAACAACGTGAGTGGTGAGGAATTTAATGGTTACATGACTGTCCCAACAATAATACATCGCATCCAATGACGGTAAAACCCATGTTGTTTAGGTCAGAATTATTTGACCTTAAATTATTCGCGTTTGGCCATCTTCAAAATGATCAGTTTGCGGAGAGTAAGATTTAATGGAAGGCAACAGGAATCGGGTGAATTATTTTATTTTCTTATGGACAACCTGAAAGCCCTTCTATATTTACAACACTGTCAAACTCAAACTTGATATTGCGAGGTTCTATCACAACCACAAATGTGTAGCGGATGCTTGCCGTATCAGGTACGTGAGTCTCTGTTCCTCAAATGCAGCCGGATGAGGGTCCATATCTTCATGTGTTATACTTCGTGTGTAACGATGCGAGCACCAAATATTTGAAGACACAGGTGGCTCACAGTTCGCCTGGTCAGCACACGCACTTTTTCGGGGCGCTGTTTGTCACAAGGACTCATCGGTAAAATCGAAAACGTTTCTGAGTTCAATGAAGGTGCTTTCTACGGTAGGTTGTTTTGTATATTCGGGTGAATGAAAAAACCGTCTGTTTTGTTTGATTTCCTATACAAGTTTATTTCATCTGGCCACACTGTACTGTCAGAAATTACCTTCCATTAAAGCTTGCTTTCTTCATAGTTTTATATGTGTGACAAACAAACATTTGTCAAATAATTTTTGGAATAATAAATGTAGGTTCGTTCTTCTTGAAGATTTGAGTACAGATTCCAGGACTCTGAAGTTGCTGTTACGATGTACGATTTATTTACATTACTTCAAGTAGCCTTGTTACCGTTCTGAGCACACGTTAGTTTCGGTTTGCCAACTTGTTTGGTTCTGGGAATAGTGCTAACAGTACTGAGACAGATGTCCCGGTAGCTTCATTTACCATGGTGGAGGAAAGGCTAACAGCCAGGCCAATTCCAACTTTATTTGCAGCCAAACGATCCGGTCACACCGAACACACAAAGCAGCGCAGTGAACGAAAGTGACAAATTTACAGTTTATCACATAAATGACATGATCATTTTTTGTGCCACACTATGACTAATGCTTAGCCCATTCCCTTGTTGCGGAATCGACATCTTTACTGAAAAGGCCACTAATCACAAGACTGATTTGTGTTCACTATTATGTGCGACCTTCACTGACTAATATCCTATCGTTGGCACCACCGCCCGTCTTAAATAATGCATGCAGTCTTATTCATTGTTCCTCTAGCATATGCATGCTAATGTCTGTCCATTCACCGTTCCAGTCTGGATGCGGTACGACACAGAAGTTGTTCTGGCGCCTGTTAGATCTGATGGATTTGCACCGAAAGAATAGCCGAGTTCTGTGATGTAGAATGTGGAACGCATCGTCTTAGTAATAAGCTTAGTCAGAAATCGTGCAGTGGCTTTAAATGTTCCGGTTTTTATAAACTTCACCAAAAATTGCATGGTGATGATTAGATGTATCTGTGGCTGAACACATAAGGTACTCACTTTAATCCTACACTCTATGCCACAGTTTAACTCCGCACAATTATTCCCCGTTTGTTTCATGCGTGACAAATTCTTCTTCGCTGTTTCTACTGGAACATCTGTTGGTCTTAATTATCGAGTCTTTTGGTCCAATTGATGGAAACGAACTGGGAACTTGCGATTGTATTTTTATTTTGAAGAAAGCGGTGCAGCATTTCTGCCCACAGATTATCCAGGTTAACGTGATTTGTAATAAAACTAGGTACATTTTGTTTTTTCAGACTTCAGACGAAGGGTTTATTGAGTCCTTTCAAAATGTCAGTGAAGAAACAGAAGAGAATTTTCATCTCCATTTAACAAAATCATGCCTTTTTAAAATCCACTAACCATCTTTACTAGATGCGCGGACGTAGAAAAGGAGTGGAAATTTTAATCACTTTTTATACCATGATGATGTTGGGTTATGAGCCCGATCCACCCAAATTGCGTCCAGTACTTGTACACTTTGATCGACAAAGACTATGAGCGAAGAAGTTGGTATTAGTGGACTGTTCACAACTGGATTACCCGCCAGCGTGCTTGGCTCATATTTGAAGTCCTACAAGACAGAGAAGCTAATCGAGTACTTGACAGAATCCGTGTTCAAAAAATCTTTTTATGTAACCAATAGAGGACTCAAAGTATTTGTACAAGAGACATCTAAACGGGCTGCTGCTCGTTTAGCTGGCGTTGCTGTAAGCTATCCGCTTTTTTTCACATAACCTCCAGATAGCGTGCGTTTGGTATGTCGAAATTTCAACGTCCTGGAATTGTTTAAAGTATCAGGGTAAAACTGTGCCACAGGAACTTTGTTAGCTTGACTCTGTGAAATTATGATGTTATGGTATCACTCCTCTGTTATGTGAACAAAATGTACGAGTACTCAGAACATGATACTTGATATGTTATCCCTCACAGTAATACCTTTTCCAAATGAAGCGAAAGATTGCTCCACACAATCACGTTGTTGACAAATTCTTGTAATGCTGTTTGCATATTTACAATAAACTCCGAAACTAGTTACAATTATGAAGAATAGCGTGACCCATATAAAGTACCAGCCAATTCCAGAGCAGACGGTCACCTGAAGCCATCAAGCTGTGGAACAGAACCTGTCGTATACCTGATTTGCTGTACAGGAAGCCATAAAATTTTCAAAGGCTACACAAATGTTTAAGGTTGGAAGATGCCAAAAATATCAGTGTAGCATTAGCCACCTCCGATTGTAATGGGGCTTAGGAACCACGTGATTTCCTTGTATAACGCTCAAAGAAGTGGTGAAGTGTTTATTGTCTAAATTACTGATTACGGCCATTTTTTTAGAATTTCACTAAGCATTCCACTAGTATGTGACAGATCTCCCCCAAGGAGAATTCTCCAAAGAGATGTCATTCCTCTATAGATTTTGCACCGGCATTTAAGACTTCGACCCGCAGACTACATTCTTTTTACTATCCTTCCACCAATGGATGACTGTTTCCTGAAGAGGCCTGGAAAAAACATATAGAATGCAGGCAATCTGAGGAAAGTTGTGTGAGGTGATACAGTCACCATCATTATTTTAGAGCATATACCATCTTACTTCCGCCTGCACAGAATGATAAGTACAATTATGATGAAGACAAAACAAATGTAAACCGACCAGCAGGGATTATGTGACAGAGTTCCACCTTGATACTTTCAAGTAAGTTGTGTGGGATGCACAAAATCCTGAGAGCCAAATACTGAAATCAGTGAACACTCTCAGCTAAGTACAGCAAAGACCAAATGCTATCCACAGTTAGTATTGTTAGTTGTGAGTGTCATGGTTGCACCAGGACTGGGATACTGCCAGGGCGCCCACACCTAGAAAGGAGGAGGATTAGGGTCCCCAACCAAAGCCTTTGGCTAAAAAGCCTAACCGCAAGGCAGCAGTGTTTTACGGAAAATGCAAATGCATTACCATTTCGCCGCATGTTCCAGCCCCCAACCTGAAGGGCCAGGAGACTGTTTTCGTCAGACCTCTAACCATTGACCAACCTAGTATGAGAGATTCTGTGAGTGTCTGGGGGATACTTCCCAGTGTAGCTCAACGGATCGCTGAGGTGCGCAAACCGTCACACCACGGTAAGGTCCAGTCTCTTCGTGACGGACCAGTCTCTTTGTGACGGTCCCGTCTCTTCGTGACGGTCTGGTAGGAGTTGTGTTGACCAAATCTTCACACTGCGTCAGGTGCTAGAATAACGCCATACGTATAAGCGACCCACAATTCTAGTATTCCTGGATTTCCGAGGCGCATTCGACTCGTTTGATCGGTTTCTTCTTCTTAGGACACTTGCCCACCAATGAATGCCCCGGAAGTTTGTAAACATAATACGTTCTTTGTATTCTCAGAATTCCGGACGTGTGAGAGTGTACGGAGAGCTCTCCAAAAGTTTCCGTACACAAAGCGGTGTCCGTCAAGGATGCCCACTCTCTCCATTCCTTTTTAACTTTGTGATCGATGAAATAATGAGACGAACGCTGGAGGGTCT